CGGACGAGGTTAACGATGCTAAATAGATCATCAGAGTCTAGTTGAGCAGCTTCTAGGCAATCATCTAATTTGCCGTAGAGTTCATCAGTTGCAAACAATTCTTGTTTACTAGTTAGTGAGATATCTTCATCACTTTGGTATGAGGAATCGGAACATGGTTCCGTTGAGTCATCATCCTGGCCTAATCCTCAGATAGAGATTTCTCCATCCAAGTGATTGAAATTGATAGAGGAGTTGTCCTCATTGTCAGAGTCTTCTGATTTGCGCTTGGCAACATGGTTGTGAAGTTTGCAAGTGGTTGCACGAGTATCGTCGATCTCGTTTTCTTCGTCATTGTCGACGAGAGGAAAAATGGGTTTGTCATGCAACTGTTTCTCGAAGTTGCGGAACGCATGCTTTCCTTGAGCCATCTTCATGGTGAAGGAATAGATTGAGGGTAGCTGAAAGCTATTGTGTTTGTTAACAAAATGCACTACGCTAAAAGCTAGTGTAAAGATCTTTCGAGTGTTTTGAGTTTGAGAGAATGAAAGTTATGAGAGAGATTGGGAAGCTATGAAAACTAATCAACGAGAGAGATCATCATCAAGGGATCGTAGATCTGGCTTCCCGCGGGAGACTATAAAGTGTGATAGAGTAGGTTGTGGTAGTAATCCTATGTCTCTCCACGATCCTAAAACGGAACGCGTGGAAGGTTTGTCTAGCCTGGATCTAGTAGCGTGGAAGTACTCCACGCTGGCTAAATATCTAGAGCGATGTTTCATCATCAACCTAGTATGACTAGCGCGGTCATTGAGAACCCTGTCTCAAATGACTATTCACGAGAGACTCAGTCATGAGTCGAACTCAAACCCTATCTAGGATCGAGTCGCGAATAAGGCTAAGAGCCGTGTATTGCATGAGGAGCCCGACGATGAAGCCATCCTCGATGGACGCAGCAACTAACATGAACTTCGTCCACAAAATCAAACCAACCAATTGAAATCCTATCAAGTACACGTATCCAAAAAGAAATGATCCTCTCCTCAGCCCACCGCCGTCTCGTCCTGGTTGCATTCACGGGCTTTCTTGTTCTTGATGCTGCTGGTACAGGAAGCCGTGCTGTGAATGCTTACCTCGAGGAGCCGGGCCACTACCTCCGCGGCCAAGATACCCACAGTGGTACCGATAGTGGTACTTTCGTCGATAGTGTCACCGGCATTGGAAGTGGTACGGACACTGCTGTCACATCCGGAATCAACGCCAATGCTCACGAAAATAATGATACTAGTAGTGATCATCGTGAGTTATTGGCCCCGACTAATAATAATAATAAGAGCAGTAGCACCCAAAAGAAGCCCGATCCTAGTAAGAAAGCTACTACCGGTACCGGTACTGGTACCGGTACCAAGAAGAACCAGAAGAAGTCCGATATTGCTGGCTACATGTACGTGAACAAAGTGGACCAACACGGCAACCTGATCCAGGACAAGATCTCTGCAAGCGAGCAAACCGAGCTGAAGCTGCCACAGGGGACGAGGAGCTACACTCTCTCACACATGTTTGGTCGCAAGCTGAAGGTCTTCCATTACAAGGACCGCTACTGGATCAAAATCATCTTTGGATACAAGAATGACCAGGTCCTGGACTTTTTGTATACTCCAGGAGGAGCCGCCGCGAATACAGAGAAGTGTGGCGCGTGCAACTCTGGCAAGCTTTCGAATCTCGATGTGTCGTATCAGGTGACTGCCTCTTGCGAGAAAGACAAGATAAGGTTCTGTCATACTCTTACCTTCTTAAAGTTGAAGGACGATAAGAAGCAAAAGAACCGAGAGGAGAAAGATTGCAACTACGTGTACGTTCCTCCCAACCAGGCCTAACTACCGTACCGGTATGCCACCCCTTGAACCTTGAATGAGAGCTGAAATGGTACCGGCATCACCGCCATTGGTGTCGTAATGATTGGTATGGTATGGTACCTGTCCCTTCAGTATCGTAATTGTATTCGTAATCAAAAGAAAGATAGTATAGCGAAGGGTGACAACGTTGTTCGTTCCCTAATGTAGAAGGACTCTCACTTCATCAGGATTATAACACAGAGTATCTCACCCCGCTTGCAAACCCAACTGATGTTTTGGTCCTAATGACTAAAACACGTTTTATTCCGATTTACTAAATCACGTTTTATTCCGATTTACTAAAACTTGTTTTATTCCGATTTACTAAAACTTGTTTTAACCTTAATGACTATTACGCGTTTTATTCCCAATTACCAAAACATGATTTAGTCCAGATGACCAAAACACAGAAACAGGTCAGAAAGACGAAAATTTGGCTTGGCTCCTCTTTCTTTCTGTCAAAGTTTCGCTTACCTTGTTTCTTTCTGAGACCAAAACATGTTTTTTCAGCAGCACACACAACACGCTTTGAGGCAACATCAACAAACAAAACAACTCAATCAAACCTATGGCCAACTTGCCACCAGCAGTCCTCCATGGGGATTTGCAGGAGGGGGAGCACTCATGGAGACCATCACAGATTCTGTTGGACAATGTTGAAGGGCAAGATAAGATCAATTTGTTTCAAGTCTTCAAGTATGACACAGCTTTTGGCTCCAAATCACTTGGTGGAGAACTTATCCTTCCCAAAGATGTCTATGAATCCTCCTTTGACTACCACAAAAGTCTTGTGAAGAGGATCAATGAAGCAGCCATGCAAGAGGATACACAAATCAAAGTGATCAAAACAGAGAAGGTTGGTGAAAGGTACAATGTTTACATTGGCTGCAAGTACTCCGCGAGTTATAGAGACAAGATCGCTTACCAAGGAAAAGAGAACGCAAACAGCAAAGCCGCTGATCTGTACAAGGACAACAGTCATGTTGTCCATATCTCTGCTCGAACACCGCACAAGTATTGGGGTTTGCTATTTCCAATAAACAATATCGGTGATAGAAGGAAGCGTTGCTGTGGTTCAGGAACTGGGTGTACTTCATCTCTTGTCTCTCGCCATTGTCAACAGCACCAAGTTCGGGCATGGGTTCTTCGGGAGGATTAAGCTGAGGTGCTGGCACATCATCAAAGTACCATTTGAATGGGATCAATTGATCTCCGATCATGTAGCAATAAGTGGCATAGGATGCACCAATAACATTCTTCCTTTTCTTTTCAAGAATGGTAGCCTTCTGACTGGCGGACTTCTCACTGGACTTTGCCTGTGGAGACTTGTTCTGCTTGCCACGACTACCCTTGCCCTTCTTTGAAGTAGACATAATGTCAATAGGCAGTTAGAGTAATGAACAGGAAGAGAAAAGAGAAAGAGTATGAGTCAACAATGAGGATCAGGAGACTCAAGAAATATTCCTCAACATTAAGATAATCACAGGCATCAATGTTTTGGTAGGGACGACTAAAACAAGATTTGGTCAGCACGACGAAAACATGTTTTAACCCACACGACGAAAACATGTTTTAACCCACACGACGAAAACATGTTTTAGCCCACACGACGAAAACATGTTTCAACCCACACGACGAAAACATGTTTTAACCAACACGACGAAAACATGTTTCAACCCACACGACGAAAACATGTTTTAACAAATACGACGAAAACATGATTTGGTCGGTACGACGAAAACGTGTCACAAACTGCACCGGGCACTTACAGGCTTGTTCCTTGTGTTTGAGCTCTTTCCAGCTAGAGATCTGTGCTGGAGTAGTAGTAGTGATGGTAAGGAGACTCTCTGTGTGTCTTCTTGGGCTGTGGGGAGTGCAGAGGGGGGATAGATGTGGAGATTTGGCTGTGGATGGAGTGGGAGGTTGTTCTTGTTGTGGATGTGGGTTGATTTGTGGAGTGAATCCAAATCCAAATGAAATTATGACCATTTCCCTGGCATAATGCACGCGAACGAGCGCCGAGTTGTTTTCGCCTTACGGACTAAAACATGTTTCGGTCTTTAGGTTTAAAACAGGTTTTAGACTTGTTGACTAAAACATGATTTGGGAAGGATGGTCAATGTTAGTTTTAGTCAAGGTGACGAAAACATGTTTTAGTCAGGTGGACGAAAACAGAAAGTTACTTAGGCGAGAGCGGGGTGAGTTACTCTGTGATATAATCCTGACTATTTGCGGGAGTCGAGTCACCCTGTAAAAATTCGAAGAACGAGGTTCCGCGGCCGGGAGCCAGCGAAAGAAGGCAAGGTCACTTTTTTGGAAATCTCGTCGAACAGATCCATGTTCGAACAATCGTTCCGAGTGCACGACAATTATTGCACGAATCGAATCAGATCCAGCAAAACACAAACACAAACACAACATTGCCCAAGCTAAGCGATCTGATGACGACGATGAAGCAGGCAAAGAGAAAGGATGACAATGACATTGTGGAGAAAGAAGAAGCAACCGAAACCACGTTGATGAGTGAAGGTGCGAGTGCCTCAGCCTCACGAGAAGGAGAAGGTGAAAGCGTCTTTCTAGATGAACCAGTGTCCATGACAATGTCCAAGCAAGGAGAAGAAGCAGGAGTGGAAGGGACGAGCAACAGTTCTTTCAAGGTTGTAGGACTGGCTGATGCCATGAACCACCCACGAAGGGACATCATACATCAGCGCAAGCAACGGCACAAAGCTCCAGGGCCAGCGCCAGTACCTGCACCTGTACCGGTACATGTTCCGCAGCAACCGGGCGCCTTCCCAGTCGATCCAATGGCCCGTCAGAGACAATCCAACACGAGGAGAAAAACAAAGTCCAAGCGACTGTCACTCGCTACACAGATACAACAGCAGCAGCAAGGGCAACAGCAACAGCAACGGCAGCAGCAACAACCGCCACCCCCACCTCCACCATCAACACCACCTCCTCCCCATCTTTCAATTGCCACAGCAGCATCGAATAGCCGACGCCAGTCCACAAATCTACACGCCGATAGTAGTACCACACCCCACTTGATTTCGGCGCAGCTCGTGTCGGACTTTGACGATGATGCCAGTATGGAACGAGATACAATCTACCAGCAAGCCCACAGAGATGCGCAACGCCAAGTCAGGGAAGATCTCCTCAGAGATGTCATTGTCGCAGATCAAGTCGTCGACGAACACAAGCACAAACAAGAACAATGTCGTTCCTGGACTGCCATTAGTGCCTGTATTGTCATTGTCGTCGCGACACTAGCAGCCGTGCTAGGAGCTCAGCCATGGAAGAAATCAGATACACCCGTACAACTCAATACTGTCCCAGTTCCAGCCAACGATCTTTGCACTGGTGCTCTGGCTCTCTCACTGACAGATGATAATGATGGTGACAGCCAGTTACCACTATTGGGAGACACTCGAGGGGCATCTGCCGTCAACTTTGAGTCATGCGCTGCGTCCGTAGTCACCGGAGGCTTGGGTCTATGGTACAACGTCACCGGAACTGGAAAACCCCTGCGAGTATCTACCTGTGACTCAAACTCAACATATGATACGCAACTCACACTCTTTCAGGGATCCTGTCAATCTCATGTCTGCGTGGGAGCCAATGACAATGGAGACGATCCATCGTGTGGCGTCTCTTCCAGCTTGACCTGGCCTTCGGTGCTGGGAGAAATGTACATTATCTGTGTCCATGGAAAGTTTGAGCCCACACCAGGCACTGACGACAATCCCGTGCTACCGGTAGCCACACCACTCAGTGGGACCTTCCAATTGACTTTGGACGAAATGGCCCAAAATGACTTTTGCGAAACAGCAACGCTCATTGACATTCATTCTCCCGTGAGGGGAACAACAAAAGACGCAACATCGGATTCGCAGGTCTCCTTTTGTCATGGAACTGAGAGCAGTGCTCCGGGAGTATGGTTTCGGATTGCCGGAACTGGAACGCCGCTGCAGGCAGTACTCACAAATGTAACGACCAATCTCCAACTTACCATCTACCAGGGAACATCCTCATCCAATCTTTTCAACAACGATCCACACGCAGACTGCCGAACCATCCGCTGTATTGCTGGCTATGATAATCCATTCGAACTTGATAGCCAAGTGACATTTGCCACTGATGCTGGTGTCTCCTATTATATCCTTGTTCATGGCGTAGATGCACAACAAGGATCCTTTGAGCTCCTTGTACAAGAGACTGCCCAGAATGATCTATGTGACACGGCATTGGAACTGTCGCTGGACCATAATAATCACACTGGCGGATCGGATGAAAAAGGATCCGCACAGGTGGTCATCCAGGGATCGACGGCATTGGCTACCTTCTCGGGCCTCTCTCGTGCCGGTGCCGCTTGCAACGGCTTGTCGCAAACTGCCCCGGGCGTATGGTTTAGCCTCAAAGGAGCCGATGAAGAAATTACTATTCGCGCCCACACCTGTGTGTCTGGTGATGATGCCAGTGTGGTTGCTCGTGAATCTCTTGCCGACACCACTTTGACAGTCTTTCGAGGCGAAAACTGCCAAAATCTACAATGCTTGGTTGCGAATGACGACTCCTCCTGTGGACAGAAGAGCTTGGTGGAATGGGAAGCTGCAAAAGACGAGCAATACTTTATATTGATCAGCGGAAAGGCTGACAAACGAGGTTCCTTTCAACTAACTGTTGAGTCATTGGTGGTCTAGCTAGCAGTTTGAAGCTTCGTAAAAGTGCCAAATATGATAGAATCTCTTCTTTATTACATGTGCTCAGTAAAGGATTTAAAGCTACCGTACCGGTACATGTACACGTAAGCAATAGTCACTTGGAAGGACCCAAAGTATTTGCTAGAAACGCTTTCATTAAAGGATTTTGAAAACTATACATGTACTACCGTACGCAATGCATGTAGTTCACTGGAAAGGGCCCAAAGTATTTGCGCTTAGAGCGGTGTTGCTAAGATTTCAGATTGAATTTCAACCAGGTTTTCGTATCGTACTCCCAGTCCCAACCCCCTTGGTTTTGTATCATCTTTGCTGGTACACAGTTGTGCCTCCACAGGACTGACCACACGACACGCCGGGCAGAGAACAAACTGTGCATCAGCAATACAAAACAAATCCAATGCACATCCCAGGCAAAACACGGGGACAAAGAAGTCGTTCCGGATAGCCGTCATTGTTTCGCCCACACTCCTCACGCGAGTGGACACACCTGGAGACACCTCAATCTGCATGCCACCAGAAGTCTCATCATCATCATCATCATCATCATCATCGACTACTACAGTCATATCGTACCCTTCGAGTGTCGCAACAGATGGAACTTTGGGAGATGGATTTGTACTGCTCGTATCGTCCTCGTCCATGCATTCGAGCTGCGGCGGCTTTATGGTGGATACCATTCGAGTTTTCACACTTTTTGCGAGTTTTGCGCTGACTACACTAGAAGGTGACGAAGATGCTGGAGGAGAGGAAGCAGAAACACCATCCGCAAGGCTCCCAGACGTTGCTGCCTTTTCCTGGATGAGGCTTGACGTAGTTGCCGCAGTTGCTGCAGAGATTGCGTCGGTCAAGTTCAGGCTCTTGCTGCGGATCATCTCTTTCTTGGAAGACTTTCGGCTTTCAAACTTCAGAGGTGAACTTGGCTCATCGGTAAAAATACAAGTACGGCTCAACTCACGTTGGATTTTGCGTTCTTGGTACTTGGCATAGTCAGGAAGAGGCGCAAAACAGGCGCAGCTTTGCGCCATGAGCTGAGGGAGACTGATGAGTGACTTGGAACGCATCCGTCTTGGATCCATCCCACCACCACTGCGTCGGCGTGTGTTGGTGGAAGCGGCTTGAAGGATTTCCTGCATCTTCTTCTTCTTGTTTTCTCTAGTTTTGAGGTCTCCGCACGAGTAAGAGGATCTTCGTTTGCTCTTTGCAATGCCGTTGCCGCTTGTAGAGCCGTGATGAGTAATGTCAAGTGGATGGATCGCCGGATAGTGAGACTTCTGTTCTTTAGGCACAGCATTTCCTTGAACATCCCGACGGGCTTTCTCTATATCTGGTGGAACCTTCATCTTGGATGCGTAACAACTAAGATTGGAACTTCAAGGGCTAGTTGCAGAGAGCAGAGAGTACGACTGTCATATACCCAACCCTTCGGTACGCTGCATGGTTCGTTTTCAAAGCTCTCGGCAGCAAGGCAACCATAACATGCAGTTGAACTCAAAGTTCACAAGGTCTTGCAAGGCTACCTTCTCCTTCCCCTCTCGCAACTGAGCGATCGGATATAATTGGCCTTTAAACAAGAAAAACTTGGCTCCCAAGAGCCCAAAACGGCTGCTTCCAGGATTTTTCAAGTTGCCGGAACACTCTGCCACCAGGCAACACTGAGCAAACCGGCGTGCGCGGCGTGGAAATGATACATGTAGAATTTCAGAGTCGAATGAAAATCGAATGATAATCGAATCAATCGAATGATTCCATTCAATCAATTTGAAGGGCAAAGCTAGACCCAGTTGTCCTTCCACGCAACCCCCCAACAAGTAGCGAGTGTGGTGTCTTGTTGGTAATGCTGGTTCTATGCTTTTGTTTCTTTATTCTTGAATGGCCATTGAATCTTTTCGTGCTAGCTAGCTAGCTAGCTAGCTAGTAGCTAGTTCCTGGTAGTACCGGTAGTTAATTGTTTCTACCTGCTTCATCAAACTCCAGCTACATGTACTGCATGCAGCAGCTGGCCGCACGCAAAACCGGTGGTCGTTCAGTGTGTGTTACCAAAATACGAGCAAAGAGCAAAGAGCCTCAATTCAAAATCTAATAGCTATCATGCCATTGAGCAACGTGGACGTGGACGTGAAACGGCGCCAGAGGAAAGTTGGGCGGCGACTACAGACTACAGTACCAGGACCGGTACGGCCTTTTCCCGAATCCAGGTGGTCTTGCAGTGAGACAGTCCTTGCTGGTCGGCTGCTGGCTGCAGTTGCGCTCATCCGTCGACTGTGACTCTTTGACCAGCTTTGAAGACGGCCCGATATGTGTCTTGCCAGTTGTCGAAAACCCCGGCAATTGAATCTAGTGGGTTTTCCTTCAACACGAGCAAGTCAGCAACCTTCCCCTCCTCGACGGATCCAATCTCCGTGTCGAGTTCTAGCAATTGAGCGGCGTTGATAGTAGCAGATTGAAGAACTTGCAATGGTGACATCCCGCTCTCTTCTAGAAGGCGGAGCCCCGTCAACTGATGGCGTCTCATTTCGGCTAGCAGATCAGAACCGTAGCAGTTTGTGATCCCCGCTTCTTGAGCAATGGAAATAGCTCGCTTTCCAGACTCGAGAACGGAGTCTACTTTTGCGATCATTTCCTTGGAAAGACCGTTTTGGATGCCCTCCTTTGCTAATGCGTCATATGTTGCCAGGGTGGGGACAAGATATGTGTCGTTCTTTGCCATGAATTCTGCGGCCTGGGTATCGAGAAGATTTCCGTGTTCAATGCTCTTAACTCCCGCCTTGACGGATTGGATGATGGCCCTTGGAGTGTAAGCATGCGCCATGACATGAATATTGGCAGCCTGTGCTTCCTCCACGATTGCTTTGAGTTCCATAAGGGAGAACTGAGTGGACGTGATGCGATTAGTTGGGCTAGCAACGCCTCCACCTGCCATGACTTTGATGTGCGTAGCTCCCTTTCGGATTTCATCTCGTGCAGCTTTTCGGACTTGAGCGTCGCCGTCACAGATTCTACCTAATCCGGCACAAGTGCAATCAAAGGCTTTTACAAAATCACCAGGAGCACGCTGATCCCCGTGCCCTCCTGTTTGGCTAAGGGCTTTACCACAGAACAAGAGGCGCGGCCCCTGAAATATATTTTCCTGCAAAGCTCTTGCCAAGCCGTGATCGGCGCCACCGGCATCACGGATAGTAGTGATTCCTCTCTTGAGGGTTGCTTCAAGTTCCCTCAATGCACACGCAGTGACGTAGGAAGGACTGGTGCGTTCCCAGACGGCAAAGTTCCCTGTGAAAGCTGTAACATGAGGGTGTAAAATACTCGTTAGTTTAACAAACTATGGCCACGGAGTGGCTTTTGTGACGCGGGCAATTGGTGGGGAAGCCCCCACCTAGCTGAGTCGTCATCCACATAAAGTTCTGCGCAGTGTCAGGTGATTCTCAAGAGACCCGGATGGGCCCCCCATTAGTGGACAATGCTGCACGAGAGTGCAGGAGAAGCTGACAAGGGCAGCACCTGGAGCGCGGGGCAATACCCAGGATTTGAAAAGCATGTTACTCATTTATCGTGGTTCGGCCAGTTTGGAGGTAGGTGTGCATTGATTGTTGAAGTTGTTGTTGTGTGCGGCGGTGGTACGTTGTGCGAAGTCGTCCATAGGCAGCCCTGGCCAGTTTGATGGTTTCCAGCCAGCGGAGGGTTTTTGGGAGGGACAGGTTGAGATTTATTTCTCTGTAGTCAAGGTCGAGGCGCCAGCGGTCGGCGGGAGGTAATGTGGCATCACCTTTGGAGTACTCTTTCAGGACTTCCTGGCGGAGGGTGGAGAGGTGGAGAGTTGGGTGGGGGTTTGGTTTTGCACCGTGTAGGGCATCGTTCCTGTGCTCCCACATTCGGAAGTGAAGCATCCACAGTTCATTTGCCAAGGCAGTTGCCCAGCTGGTGCCATCACCTTGTTTTCCAATGGAGTGTAAGTGGAGCTCGTGGGCAGTGCAAAGTGGGATTGCGATTCTGCCAAGTAGAAAATTCCACCAACCCAGTTTGGCCTGTGCACGGAGCCCGTGACAGTGCTAGGATTCCAGATCCCATCCAGAGGGGTGTTGTGTCCCTTTTGCCAGTGTGGAGTTGGGTCAGGATCTGTTTGGACATCATGGGGTCTGTGTGGCGCTTGTGCAACCAAGTTTTCAGCTTGGAAATCTCCTGGTTCCACTTTTGGATGGATGCTGGGTCTTGGCAGCGTAGCACATGGAGGGTGTCTTCGTCGGCTGTTCCACACCGTGGGCCAATCGCTGTGAGCCTGCCATTGGCGGCGTTGCAGCTGGCGTCCTACACCACAGTGGCCTGTTGCATGTTTGGTGATGAATCTTTGGATGCCAAGTGGTGCCTTCCTCATTGCCCTACCCATTGCCTCCCAGTTGATAGTGTCCCAGCGCTCTGTCCAATCCGCCTCGGAATAGACGACGTGAAGAACTCTTTCCTCGCGCTGCTTCCAGTGTGCCTTGATTTTGTCTTCCCAAAGGGCCTCGTGCATCTCACGGGGGTGGAAACGGGCCAGTTTCTTACCCTTGTGCCGAAAGATGACGCGCTCGTTGGTGAAGGGTAAATTAGGGCACGGGATGGAGTGATCCTGAGTCCACTGGGATTTGGCAGCAGTATCCATTTCAATGTTCAGGATTGCCCAGCGGTCGAGGCAGCCGTGGTACAGTCGGGTTTCCCTGTAACATGTCCCGGGGGAGGATGTGGAGGGCTCGAGGGCTGTCGTCCTGGTGGCCTTTAACCCATCGGAACTGAACGTCGATCCCCAGTTCCCTGATCTCATCGATGACAGCTCGGCCCTCAACACGGAGGTCAAAGTCTTTGCTATTGCACTGCATGGGGGTTGAAGAGGGTTTCAAGGGCAGTGAGGGCTGCTTGGCCATCACAACCAATCGTAATGCATCCCATAGTGATTTCATGGAGAATACAGATGGTTCGCATCACGATGAGTGCCCCAATTGATACCTGCCAGTTCACTTCGAATGGGAGAATGGTCACCCGGGGAACCTGGACAGAGAACTGGCCGTTGATCCGTCCCTTGTGGTCGGTCCTTCAAGGACGAAAGTCTGCAGTGCCAAGGAATCTTTGTAGGAGCAGTCGCTAACCTTAATGCCGGAGCCAGTCATATGGATTTTGCGCAATCTGGAGCCATCATCGGTAAAGCGAAGGTGTCCTAGCGCCCATTGGTCTGACTGTGGAAGCTGATCCAGGGCATCTTGGAGGGATTGGGAGCAAAGGGGTGGTGGCTGGTCCGAGGCAGATGTCGTCACTGTTGAATCGTCACTGTCGGAGAGTCCAGAGGTGGAGTCGTCACTGTCAGAGTAATTCATTGGCTCGGAGTGGCACGAGGAGTGGTTGAAGAGTAGGACAAGTTCGGGTGCGTTGGGCGAGGCTTGCACAACGTTACGGACCACTGATGCTGTTCTGTAACCAATTGATGTGTGGATAGGTGCCGAAGGGAGACTGGTGATGGGAGTTGAAGCTTCAATGTTGGTTTGATGTGGGACTTTCCATGTGCGAGGAGCTGTGGATCGCCGATAGTGTGCACGGCGTCTGCCAGGGTTGATGCGTTCGTAGGGGGTCCAGATCAATCCTTCCCTGTGATACAGGGTATCAGTTTCTGGGTTCCACATCCATGGCCAGAAAGAGATGGGTCTTCCTTCCAAAGGCCGGGTATAAGGTGTGGCCGAATGCGTAGATTCTGTGGGCTGCCGTATTGCTCATTGAGACACTCTCTTAAGGCACCCTTCCAGACGAGAGTCAACGAAGGGGGTAGAGACTTGGGTTGACGGGGCCATTCCATTCGGTGAAGGTGGGGTTCGACTTTGGTTCCGTTGAAGGTTTGGGTGCGAAGTTGTTTGCCATCCGCTGTGGCAATATCTGCCACGGTGATGACATTCAGGAACATTCGCATGACATTCAGCTGCTTGAGAGTGTGGGCACTGTATCCGTGCTGAGAGAAAAGATCCATCAGGAATCGGTCATTGGTGCGTTGTGTGGTGAGTCTAGCAGTGGTGTCCTCCATAGTAATGCCAAAATCATCCATTAACTTCCACAAAGTTTTCATACAACAGTCGGTGGTGGAGGAATCGAAAGC